TGTTGCATCTTTCCCAGTCCTCTGTGGCCAGCAGCAGCGGGATGCTGGGACACACCGCTTGTGCATCTGTCCTCAGTGTTGCGGTGGGTGCTACTGAAATGTGTCTGTGTCAGCAAGCAAAGTAGGAAGCCCTGTGTTAGTCTGGGGATGCCGCTCAGAGTCAGGCTCCAGCCTGGTGAGTCCCAGGCCCTGGGCTCGGTCCCAGTCTGCAAGCCTGAGAAGAGCAGGGAGGCAGAGAAGCCTCCCTCTCTCTGCCCTTTTCTTTCTCTCAATTCAGAAGCAGTAATCCCTGTGATACATTGTTGCTATGCATAGTATTTCAGTTATCAAAACCAAGTGAGCTTTCAAAACAAGGCGCGGGTAAAGAAAAGCAGTGCCAAATCACTGTCCTCATCAGGCAAGTGGCACTTCTGGTTGCATCTAAACTGTCCCCAAAGCCTCAGGGGTCCAAAGCAGGGGCTTTGGGAAGGAGGCTGGATGGGGGCGGCTGCACTCTGCTGTGCATTCAGCGCTGGTGCATTCACAGCTGAGCATTAGAAGCCAGAGCCTGGCGCAGGTGCACACCAGGTGGGACCGAACGGTATATCCCGGCCCGGGGCTCCCCTGCTCTCCGCTGCCGGGGCGCTGTGCCACAGGCAGCTTCCCCAGAAACTAAGACATAGTAAACCACTCCTCTTGCAGTTGTGGGTGTCAGATATTTTCTCCCAGTGATAGGAAAGCTGACTGATACAAACATAAAAAAATCTACATTAAAAATAATCCTCAGGGGGCTGGCAAGACAGCTCAGCAGACTTAGGCAAGTGCAGGGACCGGGGTTCCTTCCCCTGCACCACATGCAGTGCTAGCCCTGCCCCCAGGCACACTGAGGCCACCGAGACCAGGAGGAGTGGTGCACGCCTGTAATCCCAGCGCTGGGGAGGCTGAAAGCAGGAGGATCACTAGGAGTCCAAGCTACGTAGTGAGACCCTGTACCAAATAAAATACATAAGAAATAATACTAATAATTCTCAGTCATTTTGCATTTAGATTTTTGAGCAGAAATGCCCCTTACACGTACATTTTAGGAAAAGCAAGGGCTAAGGCCTCTTCGCTGTGTATTCTGAGGCAGCCAGCAGGGCCCAAGGAGGACAGACGGATGCATGGGAAGAAGACAGCTGTTCCTAAAAGGCCCCCTCATACTGAGGATGCATTCCAAGACCGCCAGCGGACACCTGCACCCGTGCGTAGGGCCAAAGCCCACTCCCACCTCACTGTGTTTTTCCTACATTTACATCCCTATGATGAAGTTTAACTTATAAACTATGCACAGTAAGAGATTAGCCACCATCACTAATGAAAAGATAGAGCAAGCATAATGATATACTGTAACAAAAGCTATGTGAGTTCTGCCTCTCCCCCATGCAGGTTGTGAGTCACATCCCAGGCAGGGGAACCCGGCAGGATGGCACAGGACTGTCAACCTGTGTCCCTGGCTGGCTGCAGATCAGAGCTTTCCGACTGTTTCTGGAATCCTCCACGCGATACATTCAGACGACCATGGTGGGTAACTAAAGCGCAGAAAGCAAAACCACAGGCGGGACTATCTGCTGTCCTTCTGGAATCGGAGGTGCTGTGGGCATGGGAGAGACTGAGGCACAGTCCACAACCCACCCAAGCCTTGTGGCCTTTTAACAGGAGAGGCAACTTGAAGCCTTGCAGTCCTACACAGACGGCAGAGCCCGGGCCACAGCAGTCTGCTCTGGGCAGGCTGCCAGCCTCAGCCTTGAGCGGTCAAGGCTGCTGTCACCCCCTGGGAGTGCTCCCTGCAGAGATGGCCACCGGTGCTCTTCTCGGCCCTCAGGAACCAGAGCACCATGGTTCCCTGTGCCTCGACACTTCAGCCTCTGAGACAGAGATTCGCTCTCCTCCTCTCCCCCAAGCCTCAGAGCTCACCCTGCAGATAAAGCAAGTCTCCAGGCTTCTATTAAAGCAGCCTTTTGGTGAGAAAACACACTTGAGGCTCCCAGGCTTTGGGCCTTGGTTTATAGGTGAAGTGAAGCAGGGTTTGAATTGTGGGCTTCAGAGCTAACCCTGCTCGACCTTAGCAGGAGCGTTACTGAACACGTTAGGAAAATTTCCTCAATGAAATGCCGAGGACGCACTGCTGCCAACCAGCCTGGTAGGGAGCAGACGTCTGCTCCCACTGCGGGCACTGCTTGCTGGGCCCCTGGGACACAGAGAGGGGAAGGCCAGGCTTCTGCCATTGGGGTGCTCAGGACGGAGGGGTGGATACCTAGATGTAGGCTGTATTCCAGAGCAACGGGAGCCAGGGACGGGAAGCGGGGGGTAGAAGAAATCATGGCATTGCTTGAGAGGTAAACCTGTTGGGGGCAAGGCAAGGAGTACAGGGCAGGGCTCTAGCACATGTGGCTGGCTCAGTGGAGCAGGCACTCACACCACACAGGAGGACACAGCCAAGGCCCGGTCACCACGCCGCCGGCACCCTGCTGCCCCACTGCTCCTATCTCCAACCAACGCCTAAGCCAGAGGTAGAGAACCTTTTAGGGTTTTCAGTGATGCGAACAGCCCCCTGAGGCATGGGTGCCCTAAGTTCACCTCTTCTGACCCCAGCAGGTTCTGGGGACCTGGCATAGAGAGAAAGTCCTGCAGCCTGCTCCACACAGACAGAGGGGATAGCACAAACCTGCACCCCCGGAACACTGCAGGTGGATCCCCAGAGAACATGATGTTAGAAGTCCTATTAGAGGTTTCTCATTTAGAAGCCAGCCTGGAGGTGGCCACGAGGCTAGCCCACACCTGCTCAGGCACAGAACAGCTCTAGGGCTCAAAGACTGAACCTGGCCTCTGGCTTTCCAGGCCAAAGCGTTCAGCTCTGCACGAGCTCTTCCCCGCTCCTGGCCTGATGGCCTTCTCCGTTTCTCCCTCTCTTGTCCAGCTTTTCTGCAACACCTCTGTTGGACACGTGCATCTGCCTCCCAGCCAAGGTTATCAGCTCTTACTATTGTGTGCTCCTTTTCCATTGAAAATGAAACCCCACATCGCATAACTGTCTATTGAGCAGCCACATTTTGGGGGTGGGTAGGAGGAAGGAAGCACCCTCCAAAGCTGATCTGCACTGTCTTCCCTAGCGCTGACGCACTGGGTGAGGCTTCTCCCTCCCAGCATCTGCACTCATAACTGGGGGTGATGGCAGAGAGCCTGGAGTCCAAACACATTGGTTTAAGGCATGCCCTCATCTCACACATCACTGCTAACGATCCACGTGCTAATCCAGCCTGGACCTCAGGCCCTAGCCCCAGAGCCACAGTCAGAATCTGCCTTCTGCCAGGACGGTGGGTGACTTGGACGCACGTGAGTGATGCATGTGAGTGTTTTAGGAGCACAGTCAGAGGAAGGAGAACTTGTTCTCACTGCCATCCTGGACCCTCTGTGTGGGCTTCTGTCCTAACACAGGAATCTCTGCCTTGTCAGCTCTCTAGGATGCCACTGAGCACCCTGAAACACTGGCAACCTGGTGCACATGCACCGAGGAGCCCCCAGCAAGGTATGGCTGGTGCTGTCCTCTGAGCAGCATGGGGAGCCCTGGAGGAGCCCCCACGCAGCCCTATGCCACCCTTCAGAGCTTCCAAGGTTCAGGATGTCTGCCCAGCCCTGTCCCCTAGGCAGCGGAGGGAAGAAGACAGGATGGCCCAGTGGGCAAGCTGCCTTCAAGGCCGCAGCCTCCACATGTCAAGTAATATGGTCCAGCCACGGATAGTTGAGCTCCGTTATCTGTCACCCACCTGGGGACAGAGGCCAGGAAGCTGAAGACCACAAAGACCTGCTTAGAGAGAATGGAGGTGAGAACGGAAAGGCCAGAGGAGCGGGCTGGAGGGAACCCAGTCCTGCAAAGCACAGCTACTGTCCAGCGAGGGCCAAAGGCTCTGACCAGAGCCCTGGCAGGTCATGTGGACGCTAGTCTAGTTTCTTGCCCTTTGTCTTGTATAAAGATAGGGCCTCCTCAGAGACATTTCTATAAAAAACACAAAGACCAAAAAAGCTAGACCTTGATAAGAGGGGGTGGTCTCCATCAAGGGAGGTGTCCTGTCCCTAACTCTGCTGGACATGGGCATGACAAAAGCTCTCATGCTTTGGGTCTTTCCAATGTCCAGGCAGAACAGCCGTGTTATTGATTACTGTGTGATAAGGCTCAGCTTGGTTTTTGCCTCCCCCACTTTTGCTAATTTTCACTCATTTTTTTCCATCTTCACTTTCGGATTCTCTGAAACAGCAATATTTTCAAACACAAAATGGTTTATTTGTACCAAGCAATACTTGTTTTCCAACTAACACTCATCTGTTTACATGCGAACAGGATCTGAGCTCCACAAACACAAGTCTGTCCTTTGAACACAGCCACATTGGGCTGGGCAGGGAGAATAGCTGGGAGTGGAGCCCTTAAGCCTGAGGTCCAGCCAGGACCTGCAGCCTTCCTCCACCAGGCCATAGGCAGCCCCTCCCTCACTAGGAGCCCCTAGTGGGCAGAGGAGTGGACAGAGGAGTCCCCACCGAGACAGGGGCTACCCAAGCCATTCCTGCTAACCTCGGGTTCACAGAGCAGCCCTGAGGCTCCTGAGCCAGACCTGGCCCCACTGAGCCACCCTCCTGAGCCACTGACCGCCGGCGGGCACAGACACACCACCTCCCAAAGACAGAGAAAGTTCACTTTAGTCCACCTGTCCCTGCCGGGCTGCATCCTCCACGGGGCTCCCGCAGCTACTGCTAAGCCAGAGGCTGCAATGTGGTCTCTATGCCCTGGCCAGGGCAAGGTTCCCAGCCTCAGGAACCCACCACTCTTCTCTCTCAGTCCAAATGGGCTATGGTGAAGCTACAGAGGGGGCAAAGCTGGGACGCAGGCAGAATGTGGCATTGGTCCTGGCCGGAGCTCTGGGCACTCAAGGTCCTGGAGGAAGGGGTCGGCTGGGCACAGCATTCGCGCGTGGGGTGGGGGGGTCACTCACCGCCTGTGAGCTGCGCAGGGCCGAGACACAGCACCAACTGCAGCCACAGGGTCACGGCCGGGGGTTTCCGAGGGGTCAGCGGCAGCCTCAGGAACGCGGGTCCACGGTCCCCACGGTCTCCACCGTCTCCACGGCGTCCACGGCGCGGGCGCGCTCCATGATGCATCTTTCACCCGCGTGGCGGGCGGGCGGGCAGTTCGCCAGCGCCTGCAAGCAGGGAGGAGCCGACAGTGCCCAGGCCCGCGACCCTGGCACCCCGTTCCCCTCCGGGTAGTGGATAGGGGGACGGAGTCCCGCACCGCGATCCCCTCGCAAACGGCCCTCTGCCCCGAGTGGGGCCCGGGCTGCAGGTGCTGCCCGGACTTAGCGGCCGGCCGGGTCCCGCATCCATGCCCGTGCCACCCCGCACCCGTGTCCTCGGTCCCAGCAGTACCTGCGGGTCGCATGCGCGCCGCCGCCTTCCACCGCCGCGTCGCTGGATCCCCGCATCGGTACGCGACCTCCGCGCCGCCTCCCGGCCCGGCCCGGCCCGGCCTGCG